GGGCAGGCTCTTCTGTCCCAGGGTTGGGGGAGGAGGGAGGCTCTTCTGTCCCGCCGGGGAGGCAGCGGTGTGACTTTGGTCGAGCTCACTGTGACCATTGGCTGATTGGAGCGTCATCTTGCCCCGGGCAGTGGGGTCTTGATGACATCAGCCCCTGCCTTTTGCTCTCGCTCTGACACAGACAACGTTCGCCTCCTACCGGCCTGCCTCAGAGCCAGCTGGGAGGACTCCGCCCGCGGCCCGGGCTGTCCGAGGACACTTTGCACCTCCGCTTTGCTTTCGTCTGAAAGATCACGGCTCTGTTCCCAGCGGTACAGACTTACACACCCAGAAAATTCCATCCTCGTAGCTGTTACCACCATGGCACCGTGGCAGGGTCAGGGGACCGCCAGGGAAGGCAGTGTGGTGTATAGGGACGACTTCCAAGGTGTGCATGGCCCTCAGAGGGGCCGTCTGCAAAAGAGGCACAGGCTAGGGGAAGGCCGGGGGTCCCAGGTCGCTTCCTAAATTACCCACCCTACCATCTGGGCTAGCAGGCCTGGATGACCAGCCTCTGGTTTATCTAACAGAATGAGTAGTGTCTTTATTTTAATTATGTTAGGACAGCTAACAAAAACGGGTAAAACATTAACTGCCTCCGTGACACCCCATAAGGTGGCTGGTCTGCTGCGTGGTGGTGCTGGTACGTGCCTGGGGCAGTCCCAGGCGGGCGCAGACGCGCCTTCCGGCCTAAAGGGAGACTGTGGGCAGTGAGGGCCGTCTGCGTCGGCTCGCCTCTGGCCATCTTCTGTTCGGGACGCCCGCCACTGCTTCTGCGACTGCCCACATCCGTCTGCCCGCGTGGCCACCTCTGTCATTCTGTCACGTCTGACGTGGAGGACGCTGGCAAGGAGATGCGTCACTCCCAGCGGCACGGCTCATCTAGGGACGGCAGGATAAACGCTTGCTTCTGTGCCTTTTTCCCAGGCCGAGATCACGGGCCGTTTCCCCGGCGTCCTTGGGAAAACCCTCGTAGCTCCTGGCTCGCTCTGCCGGACGAGCTGCCTTCCCTGTCCGCTGCTTTCCCTCAAGCCACTGCCCGTCGGGCCTCTTTGCCGGGTCCTCCTCCTGACCTAGCTCTTTCCGAAGCGGTCTCGCCCACTTCTGGTTCCTGAGCTTCGTCCTCTCCCGCGTCTCCACGCACGTGTGCTATTCTCCCCGCGTCTTGTCATTTCTTGATGTGTGCACCTGCTTGAAACGGAAGGTCGCGCTTTCCTGGAGTGACCATCTGTTTGCATTATCGTGTTCTCTTAGGATGAAGTGTCATGCTTTTTGCTCACTCATTTTTATGTGAAATTACTTTCTTGGGCTTCTAAGATGCTGGTTCAGGGCAGCTCTCCTCACCGAGCGAGCGCCGGACCCCCCGCCCCTGACGCCACCTGCTCCCCTCCTGGTCTGTGCAGAGTCAACTCCCGAGGGTAGCTCCCGGCGTGTGACCTTCTGTGGCTCGTTAATTCCTCTTACCGCAGTGTTCTCCAGACTCACCGTGGCTGCGTGCTGTCCCTCCTTCTGAGGCTGAAAGACAGTCCCCGCACACGCCACGTTTTGCTCACACGCTTCTCCACGTCGACACTCGGGTCGCGTCCGGCTCTCACCCGCTGTGAGGAACGCTGCCGTGCACGCGGCTCGTCGCTTGGCTGCTCGAGCCCCTGCTTCTCCGCTCCGGGCCTTGTTGGCACACGGGCGACTGCGGGGCTGTGCCGCGAGGCCGTGCTGAGGTTCCCGAGGAGTCACCGTACTGTTTCCACCGCGGCCCCTCTTGACCTTGTCGCTGGCCCAGCAGCGGTGCCGTCTCCACGTCTTTGCCCTCACCTGTTACTTTCTGGGGGTTTCGATGTGGGGTTTTCCTGTTTTTTACGGTAGCTCTAATAGGTATGTCCAAGACTATTCTTTTATGGGCTCACATTTTACTTGTGGAACTAAAACTTGTGCTTTATCATCTCTGTTCTGATCCATTTCTTTCTCAGAGGCTGCGAAGTAACCGTTAGAGTTTACATCCTGTGGCTAGCGGTGCCGTGCGTGCTCCGGGCTTTTCTGGAGACCGACGCTCGGTGCTAGAGGGTCTGGCCGGGCTCGTGCCCTGCCCGCGGGCACCTGTAAGAAGGCCCCTCATTTGGGGAGGACCGGCGCCCTTTCTGCTGTCGGGCAGGATTTCTTCCTAAGCTGCTTTTCTTCTCCTGACTTCTCTCTGTTTCCTGCTTTTCCCTGTGTCATACTCACCGAACCAGAAATGCTCCTTCCGCGCTCTCCTCAATTTGGCTAACTCAGGTCTGAGCTGATTATTATGCTTCCCGAGGGAAGCTTTGTTTAGAGCAGCTTAATTCTTGGATCCTACTTCATTTCAGTTTTCAGAGTGATAATTAGTTTGATCCAGATTTCAAAATGGCGGCCGTGAGACGGTGGCCCTCGTGTCTGCTTCATCGTGTCACTGTAGGGTCCCAGCGTAGCTAAGTTTCCGTTAGAAATGTTTCCTTACGTGTGTTGCTACTTTGCAGCATACGGATTCTTCCCTTTTGGTGCTCGAAGGGAAACGGCTGCGTTCAGCGGCCCGGGCAGCTGCTGCTCGGGAGAACGTCTGTCTGCGAACGTCTGTCCGCGATTGCCGGGGCACCTTGCTGGGGCGGAGAACCGGGACGGAACCCGCCCAGCGTGACTTTTTATCTCGGGCCGCGCCCAGCGAGATCTGCAGGCCCGCAAGCCCGCATCACCTGGGGGCCCGCCGCGAGTGCCGCTCTCAGGCTGTGCCGCCCACCCGCCAGCTCCTCAGAGCGTAGCGGCTTCCCGCGGCCGTCCTCTGTGTTCCGCGGGGCTCCCTGGGCCACGGCTTTAGGCAGAACTCCGCCCACGGCTCTTCTGCCTTGGCATGGAGTTCTCTGAGTGGTCTCCTGGCCTGCGGGCCCCTCCCGGCGGGGAAGGGGCAGGGATTGGAGGCAGGGCAGGGCCCGGGGTAGGGGTGCATCTCGGGTGACAGCCTTTGAAAGTCACGAGGGTCCCCGTGTTCGACCGAGGGCGGCAGGCGGGGTCTAGCAAGCCATCTCCTCTGTCCCGTGCGGCCAGTCTGCAGACTTCCCGGCCGTCTCTTTCTCATTAAGACTCCAGCGTATTTAAGACTGAGAAAGTCTGTATTGACTTTAAACGGAGGGAATGTAGGCGTTTTATGTAAAGTTGGTGCTGCTCAGACTTTGCTTGTGCGGTTTTCCTGGGCATCTCAGGTGACAGCTTCACTTTCCTGTCTGACTCTCGTTTAACCCCTGCACTCCGCATGGCGCTCAGACTTGCAGCCCCGAGACCAGGAGTCGCACATTCGACCCACTGCGCCGGCCAGGTGTCCCTGCACTCCTGCTTCAGTCAGTTGTCCAAGTGGGACCAACCAAGAATTAGATGAAAGTTTTCTGAAAAGTGGTTAATTGGATATTTTGCATTTAAGAGAATCCGTTACCCTAAGTTTTTATTTGTCTGTTTTTCACATTAGTGCATCCTGACGTTTGGATGTAAACACGTAATTAGGAAACCGTTTCGTCACGACTGTGCTGTATTGTGCAAAGGCGGCGCGCACCTGAGGCGAAAGGCTGTCAGCTCCAGCGGGCAGGCTCAGCTCAGCCTCTTAATGCACTGGCTACGTCAAGTGCGCAGAAAGAAGATGTTTCAGTTACAGTAAGCAGAGAATGAGTCAGTGTTCCAAAAACTGGGGCTTAAGGTAGCATTTCCTACAGTCCTAGAATTCAGCGACCCTGTTCCATAAGACACCATCTTCCCCTGAGCCGTGCAGCGAGGATCCGTGTCGGGGAAGATGGACAGTGTGGACTCTGATACCCAGTCTAGAGCTAAGTGTCCGTCCGTGGACATTTTCTCCCCAGCCGTGACCTTGAGAAAGGTGGAGACCTCGTAGTGCGTGTGTGGCTTACCTCCGAGTCAGACTCTGCGCTGCTGTGGTGGCAGATGGCAGGGCCACTTGGGGGTACCGGTAATAAACGACACGTGCAAATTGTGTCCAGGTCGGTCCAGTCAGGTGTGAGGAAAGCTCGACGTATACGAGGATGCATGTCTCCGGCACCGGTGTGATGACCGTTCGCACGTCTGAGTCACAAACGCGTAGACCCCCCCGAGCTCTCACATCACAGTTTCGGGAACATCTGTTCCGTAGGGGTTGGGCCTCATCGGACTCTTGGGTGAGAGTGCTGAGTTTTATTGATCCAGTGAATATCAGTGCGGTAGGAAGTGGAGACGTTTTGGGCAGTGGAAAAAAGAAATTAGGATTTATTAACTGCTCTTTCTCTTTTTTGCCAGATTTAGAAATGGCTGTTGCATACTGGAATTTAGTATTACCTGGGAGGTTTAAATTTTTAGATCTCTGGAACTCCTTCTTACTGGTAAGTGTCTTCCTGCCTCTTGCTACATGTGCCCAGTGGGAGGGGTCAGCCGATCACGAGGCTGTGTTGTCTGATCGAGGTGTTCCGGACGGGTGGTGGGTCATGGGAGTTCGAACAGTGGCCACAAGGCCACGCTGCCGTGCAGAGCGCCGTGGCCATGGAGCTCCAGGCAGGGCTGTCCCAAGGTCCATGTCCGATCAGTTCAGGGAGCCACGCACAGACCCCCCAGGCAGGCTTTTAGACGCCCTACAGACCTGGGCAGTCCCCCATCCGCCACCTTCTCTGAGGGACACCAACTAATCCTGTGCTTCCTCCGAGAAGCTTGGAATTTCTGAAGAACGCATCAGGCACACACGCCCTGGACGCTGACCCTGGCCCCAGACTGGATTGTTACCCGGTGTCCAGCACGCTTGTAGTCTGACACATTTTGAAACGTGGTTATGCTGCCCAGAAGGAAAAAGGAGGGCTAGCTGGCCCCTTGGAGACGGCCTGTCTGTGCTGGAGGCGGGCCTCTGAGTGGCGCTGGGCCTTACTGGGGCAGCCTGTCCTCGCCAGGAGGAATACGGGAAGCAGGTGTCACAGTGGGAAGCGTGTGGAGCCTGAGGTCTTGCTGCTGGATAGTCCCATGACATCACTGTGCCCAGACCTACCGTGTCACTTACTCCATGACCGTGTGAGGGGGCGGGCCTTCTCGCAGCACAGACCCCGGCCCGGCCAGGGCCCAGCCTCCCCCGGGGTCCCGTGTGATTAGAGGCCTCCTTGAAGCGGCGTGGGAAAGCCAAGACGCCCGTCACGTTGACTCTGCTCCACCACTTACTAGTTTGGGGCCAGCGACCTCCATGGCCGACGTTCCCAGAGATGGGGCGGCAGGCGGGACCTTAGGAACGTCGCCAGAGCCCTAGCAGGAGAGCAGGTAGAATCTCGGTGGAATGCTCCCAGGGCACGGGGGCCGCTGCTGAGTCCAGGCCTGACACGTGGCTTTAGAGAAATGCACAAAGACGGGGTGAGCAGGGTGCGGGGTCCCTTGAGAGGGGAGCACTGTGCAGCCCGGGGAGGGTGGGAGAGGACCGGGCCTGCCAGGCGTGTAGGGCAGGACCCCCGGGGGTCCGCCTGCAGCTCAGGTATTGAATTTCATGCTTTTAGACCATCCCCCTTCCTGGCATAGAGGGAAATAAATCGTGTCCAACAGCAGTTTGCCTCTCGTCCTGCGTTGGGTCTGAATCAGTGGGCGTGAGGTAGGGATTTAAAGTACTTGATTGAAACGTAATCGTGGTATTTCAAATGTTTATTCTGTTTTTAAATAAGTCTACTCTTGCCTGTTTGCCTGCCGGCCCTGTGTAGTTCCAGATTCATCCGGAAGCCTCCACTGTCCCTAACGTCCAGCAGCGCGTGTGGTGCGGCTCGGTCCGCGCCAGACTGCAGACCAGGCCAACTGGACGGTCAGACTCCGGAGGGTCAGGTCTGTTTCTCACGTCTGCGGTTTCTTCTCTCGTGTATTAGGAACATCACAAACGATCAATCCCGAGGGACGCTTGGAACCTTCTGCTGGATTTTGGAAGCACAACTGTAGGTGACGTGTCGGTGCATACATGCAGGTGTATGACGAAGAAGGGACGGGAAGTCCTGCTGCTTCAGATGGTGGCCAGAACCGTGGCCGTGCAGGCTACCCGTCCCTGCCCCCGGGGTGCAGGCCGGTGCCCCCCACCCCCAGCTCCAGGCCCGCCACCTCAGTGCAGTGGGGGTGATGGCGGTAATGATAGCCCCACTCTAGTGCATCCATCAGCCTCACAAAGGAAAAAGAGGGCTTCAGATGCAGTTTCGGTCCAGAGGAGAATGTCCCCTAAACTAAAGCATTTCCAAGGGGGCCGTGCAGGGGGTCCTGTGGCCAACCCCCGACCACCACACCATCCTGTGTGACCCCCTGTCATGCTGCTGACGTGGGTCTAAAGACTCCAGTGGGAACTTGACGTACCCATGATTCCGTATCTCGTGGTCCCTCCACCACCTGTCTCAGGACAGCTGGTCAGGGAGCGTTTGCAGGTCCGCTGTCCTGGGTGCCATGCCACATTGGGGAGGGAGGCGCGGTCGCGGCGCCCAGCCTGGGGGCGGCCTCTGGGGCACCTCCTCACGTCCCTGCTCTTGGGGCTGCTCAGTGAAGGCTCACCACCCAGGCGTGAGTGTCTCTGGGTGTCCTCCACCTGGGCACAGAGCTGCCGCTTGCCAACCGCGTGTGAGTGGATGGGTGGATGGTTGGCCGTAGGCAGAAGCCCAGCTACCGGGAGCTTAGCTGCGGTGGCAAGACGCGGCTCGTGTGCAGAGGAGCCAGCAGCTTACGGCGAGTGCGTGTCTGCTGGCTGGGGGTGTCCCAGAATCTGGAGTGGTCCGGGCCACGGGGGATGTGGGGCGGCCCGGGCTGGAGGGGGATGGCCCAGGGAGAAAAGGGCACCGGCTCTGGCCAGAGCAGGAAAAATGGGTTTTATTGGCCGATTCCTTCAGAGTAACAGTCTGGGACACAAGCTTACTTGACTCTTGGAATGCAGACATCGACTGTGAGAAGACTGCTCTGAGTATAAAGCTGTTAGTCTAAACTGTTGATTTAAAAAGCAAAACAAAAAAAACCCGTGTGTTTGATTTCCTGTAGGAGCGTGGCCTGTCCTCATCGATGATTTCGTGGAGTACGCGGGGCCGGTTGTCACGGGCACCAAGCGCAGCCCCTTCTAGGCAGAAGATGAGGATGTGTCGAGATGCCGAGAGGAGGTGCCTCCCGCACAGGGACGCTTCGCCGATCAGTGTGCCCGGGACGCTGGCCCTGGTGGTCGCTCTCGACAGCCGGGGTGCTGGATTGACTTCCCCGGGCTGCAGAAAGGGCTGAGCTGGATGCCGGAAGGAGCGCCTCAGAAGACGCTGCTTTGGAACGCCGGCCGTGGCATCCAGCCCGCTTTAGGAGTCCAGTTAGTCAGTCCCCGTCCGTCCGATGAGGGTACCGCTGCATGGTCTGCGTGCTACTCGAGAAAAAGGAACCGGAGCTGTTCGCAGAGCGGCCGGGCCTTCTGCCGCATTCATGATGTACCGTGGTCGCCAGCGGTGACCACGGCTCCCGCCGGCTGCCTGTCCTCCCCGTCACCCCCGAAGAGGTGTGACTGTGTCCTCGGGCGTGCCATGCACTTTTGCTAGTCAGAGCCGCTGCCCAGCTACCCTAACGAGCCTCTGCAGGGATCCCAACATTTTATAAACCTGGTGCCGGGATTTCAAGATTTCTATTTTCTCAATTATCAAATGTCTAGATTTATTAGATCTATTTTTATTCTAATTCCCCGTAGATGCTCACGTGAAAGTCATTCGGTGGTTCTCGGTGTGTGGCGGCTTGTGCACTGACAGCACACGTGGGCTGTGACTCCAGGGACGCAACTGTCAACTGTGACAAGTCGTGGGTCTTTTCCTTCCAACGTCATTTGAATGAGTTTCCTAAAAAGTTTTGTAAAGTATGTTTTTTTAAAAAAATGTATTTTATAACATTTAAAAAGACATTTTTCCATATAAAGTTTTTCTTTCACAAGCAACGGGTTATGCATTGGAACGGCATGTGAGTTGCGTCCCTGCAGCGGTCTGGGAGGCCCGTCGCCCACCCCAGGGCCGCGTGTGTGTTGCCTACGTCTCGTCACCTGTCACCCGTGCGGAGACCTCCACCTCGTCTCTGCCGGAAGCCCGAGCTCGGCACGTCGCTGTCCGATTCTTTGTTGTCTGCTGGCAGAGGAGACTGTCCTGCGAGGCCCGCAGCCGTCCGGCCGAACGTGGAAGGCCCGTCTGGAGAAAGCTACGTGATCTAAAAACCACAGTGTGGACCCTGCCTCGTGCGGAAGGAGCTTCACGTCACGAGTTCACAGGACAGACGAGTTGGCGTCACTTCACAGGAGGGAGGAAGTTCACTTCGGGTCCTCCGTATGTGGACAGTGTCCTGCCATGTGTGCTTGAGTTGGCGTTTCCAGAAGCATCCGGGCCAGTAGGGGTTTGCACACCTGCTGCGTGGGAACTGGGTGTACTTTAGGAGGGAGTCTTTCAAACACACAGCAGGCTGTGGAGGGCAGGAAAGAGGGCTCGGGGCCTGGACGCCACCGTCAGGGCCGCGGTGGCCCCTCACGAGACTCACAACCGAGTCGTGCAGCTTCTCCTGGGCCTGCACATCCGCCGCTGCACAGGGACAAACAGGGCCATCTCTGCTTGTGAGCCGGGGGTTCGGAGAGAGCCTGGTTTTGTAGAATAAACACCTCCACAAGTTTGAGGCATCCTTTGGGGTCGCAGCTTCCTGCCAGGTAAGTGGTCTGCTCCAAGAGGCTGCGGAGTGTGGTCATCTCGCACAGACCCCGGGGTCCCCGGCAGCTGCTACTTCTCAAGACTCAGCGTGGCGGGGCTCCCGTGGCCGCTCGTGGGGACGCAGGGATCCTTGGGGCTCAGGCAGAGGCTCTGCAGAGAGCCGGGCTGCTTTTTCTTGTGTGTATTTAAGGCTTGTGTGCAAGTGCTGGGGGCTTCAGAAACATTAAAATAAATTATTTTCTCTGGTGTGAGGAGGTCTGTTCTCAGTTGCTCAGATGCTGGGTGCCCTGGGACCCCCAGGAACCCCGCCCCTCTGGGGACATCCCCGTGGGCGGCCTGCACCCCTGCTTAGACGGTCGTGTCCCACAGCGGACAGCCGGGCCAGGTGCTCTCCTTTCCGTCACCGGCGTGTGCCCACTAAGTACTTGTTTCCATTGAGGATGAGAGGCTTTCCCTGAGCTGTGGGCTCCTGTAGCAGAGCCCCGGGAGTGGGACTGTGAGTGGACGGAGAATGCACCAGCAGCCAAGTGTAATAGGCTTAGTGACGACACAGACGATGCGGGGCCCGTCTTCCCACGCTGGGGCCATAGGCACGACTGAGTGCAGCACCCCAGCTGCACGGGGGGGCGCGCGCCTGTGGCTCCGTGAGGTGCTGGAGGCGGTGGGCCGTGCCCACACGGGCTGGGCAGCGTGGGGCCACTCCTGGCCGCTTCACGGAAGGTTCCACGGCCTCAGAGCCAGTAAAAGGGATGGGCCGCAGACTGTGCTGCTCTCTAAGGACGCTCCTTGGCCTGCGTGTCTGGGGTGTCTGGTCCCGCTGGGCAGGGAGCGCACGGCTTCACCCCCCAGGACCCTGCTCGCTGGAAGGATGTTTACAGCCTCCTGGGTCCCAAGTGCTGACTGAACAGTCCCCGGGCTCAGGTGCGACTCAGCGTCTCGTTAGTGGAAGGAGTGCTCTGGTTCTCAGACACGCTCCTTGGATCCACGGCTGATGGGCCCTACGTCCAGCCCGATGACTGACCCGGTCCCAGGGGCCAGCGGCAGGCGGGGACACTACTTCTGAACTCCCAGTTTCAACCCCAGGGCCTGGTTCGCACACTCGCACCGCAGCCTCCCTTCCCGTAGTACATCCGCCCCGCGGACCTGGGCACGTCTGCGTGCAGGCTGGGGTCCGGAGCCCGGCCGCCGCGCGAGAGCCAAGGGCAAGACCCGCACCCACAGACGCGCCGGTGCTTCTCTCCTTGGCCTGCACGTTCCCTAGGTTTTCTGACAAACACTGTGTCGTCAAAACAGTTTTCCAAAAAGTGAAACCATGCATGGAGAGAATGGAACGCGATGTGATGCTGTCAGGCCACAGAGTCCACGGTTCCATTTCCCTGAAATGCGAGAAAAGACCAGGCTGTTGGGGCGGAGCCCGCAGGAGCAGGTGTGCAGAGCGGGCGGCTGCCAGCCCAAGCCCGAGCCCTGCGTGCCCGAGGCACCGCCCTGCGGACTCCACCCCAAGTTGTGGAGGCCAGTGCTCGCCTTGCCCAGCCCCGGCTCTGGCTCAGCTCGGAGAGTTGTCGCTCTGCGGGGAGGTGGCTGCAGCTGTCACGGCTCAGAGCTAGTGCCCTGCTGACGCAGAAGGGAGGGCCGTGACCACGCGGCTCCTCCACAGGCGCCCAGAGCAGCAGCAGGGCCGGAGAGGTTCTCATTGGTGCCACCTGCCGAGACAGAAGGGGCGTGTCTGGCCATTCGGGGCTCCTCCCAGCGGCACCGTGACCACAATGCGGGGCGGGGGTGGGGGGCACTGAAGGCCACGGCCGTGAAGCACCAAGGCTGGGCGTGGGGCAGCTGAACGGCCAGAGGAGCGGCCTCCGCGATGGAGAGATTCAAAGCTGCGATGCTGCTGGGGGCCGTGGGGGACGCGCTCGGACACAGAAATGCCCACAAGGATAACAGTGCCTCTGGCAGGAAGGTCCAGGAGGGGCCGCAGAGAAGCGGGAGCCTGGACCAGCGGCCACTCTCCCCGGAGACGTGGCCAGTGAGCGACAACACCATCATGCACCTGACGACGGCCGGGGCCTTGACCACAGGTGAGCCGGCCTCCCTGCCCTCAGCCGCAGTCCTGCGGGCGTCTCCACCGCAACGACCCCCACCCCCGACCAGCACCCCTTCTCGCCGCCTCTCCAGTCGTGTCACTCTGCCTGTCCGCGGTCGGCCTCCCAAATCTGACTCTTGGTTCACGTCTGTAAACGTGTCTCCAGAGTTAAACCGACTGAATGTCTCGCTTGGGCTGTTTCCCGAGAGGGTCCAGCTTCTCCCTGCAGGCAGTCCGCCCTCGGGTTTGCTCCGGAAGAAGAGAAAAACAATAAGCCCTTGGAAATTTGGGCCCATTAAGATAACATTGTTTGGGGATTACTTATAATCCCAAAGAGTTTGAGTCTAAACGCCATCTCCCAAAATAGGACTCAGATATCTGCCTAAACCACTCGTGGGGAGGCGACGCAGTGAGTCTGGCCGCTGGGGGCCGGGGTCGTGCTGTGTTCCCTGGGCAGCAGGTGGGCGGGGGCGCGTGTCTGCACGACTTTCAGGGAAGCAGCGGAGGGTGAGCACAGCTCCCGGGTCGGTTCCAGCGAACAGGGTGCAAGTCGGGTGGCAGAGAGGCGAGGAGGCCTGGGGGCCCGTGCCGGGGGCCCTCCCAGCTTAGCTCTGCGCTCACCGGGCGGGAATGCCGTCCGCCGCCGGTTCCAAAATAGCCCGGGTGAGGCCTGGAGCCGCACAGATAAGATAGCTCGGGGCGCCGAGCGGGGAGCACCTCCCCGAGTCTGCACAGCTGGGACGTCCGGTGTCTCCGGTGTCTGTTCCCGGGCTGACCCGCAGCAGGACGCCCACCCTCCCCAGGAAGCTGCGCCCGAGCCCAGCCCCGGCCCCCCCGGTTCGGGCGGCACAGCCGGGCTTTGCTCCCAAACGCGGCTCCCTCCACGGCACCTGCGGCCGGGCGCCCCGCGCGGTCCCGTGTCCTCTCCGCGCCCGCCCCGTCTCTCGTGACGGCGGAGTCCACCCACCGTGCATCCGCAGCCGCCCACGGACCGGTCAGGCTCCGAGATTAGCCTGAGCCCTCTTGGCGGAAACGGCAGGATCTGCCCGATGTGAAATGGAGGAAGGGGGTGGGGGGCGTTCGAGGCTTCGTTTCTGAGCAGACAAGCCCCGCCTCCGGCCGTGGCACTGGGGGCTGCTGCGTGCCCAGCACCGCCTGGCCTGCCGGTCTCGAGGGGTCGCTGGGGAGAGCGCCCACCCCGGAACCTCCACAAACCGTAGCGTCGTTCTCCTTCAAGTCACTAAAAATCTAAGGGGAAATTTATTTAAATTTAGTTGTCGAACAGCTGGATCTTTTATCAATAAATAGCGAACTGTGGGACGCCTGGGGGCTCCGTTGGGGAGGCGGCTGCCTTCGGCTCAGGCCATGATTCCAGGGTCAGCAGGGAGCCTGCTTCCCCCTCTC